AAGACCAATACATGAGACGACGATATTGTGGAAAGTTAAAAAATTATTTCAGATGTCAGAAACATGCGTTTAGGTTGCAAGTCCAAATGAGCCTGGAGGAAGCGTTAGCTCCTTTATTTCTATCGGGAAGTATATTTAACAATAAAAGTTAAACGTTACAAGCAGAAAGTTTATACTGAACACATAGATAAACGGAAGATCACATAGATAAAATAACGGAGGTTAATTAGTAAGCAAAAATAACAGTGTCATCTCCATATCGAATGATGTCTTTCTCGACTTGAACATACTCTAGCTTTAACATCTTCAAAAGCATCTTTGAATATTTCTATAGATCGCCTTGCATTTAAATAAACGAATCAATTACATTCCTTAATCAACTAATTATTTGGAAGTGGAATGCCTTCTTGACATTTTACGGCGCGGTACATCGTTTGCGAGTAAAAAAAATAAAACTCCATTCATTGCATTATTAGAGGTGTTCAATAATGTACAGGAAATAATTTTAAGTTGAAAATTCAATTTTTTTATGCATTTGGAACAGAAAAGATCCTTGGAAATTTTTTGAAGTTGCCAAGTGCACAAAACATAATGATAGAAATCGGATACATTAAAATAACAAATAAGGGATTTTCAATACAATAAAAAATATTCAAATTTCTTGATCAATTAGGAAGCTAAAAAGTCTCTGGACATTTTTTCGTGCAACGCCCCGTTTTCGAGTAGAAAAATAAAGGACGAATCATTACAGAATTCGAGTTGCCAAGTGCTCAATTAAAACGGAATAACAACAGTTCAGCAATTGGAAGTCAGTGCGGAAAGTTCAGCTCATTTTTAAATAAGTCATGAAATAGTAGTTGAGGTTGCACCCCAGTTTCCTGCAAAAAACTGACCGAAAAACGGACAGCTAGTCATTGAATGGGTTTTGGCGAACATCGCAAATCAATTCTGGACGTCGGGGCGGCCTATGAAACATTAACCAAAGGATATTCTGTTCTGAAATAGGACCAGAAGTATACATAAATAAATTTTCTGCAGTGCACCAGCCACCTACTAAAAAATTTATAGGCTGCACGGGACTCGAGAACGTTTCAACGGCAACACACGCTAAAGCCAGTTTCAGGACAGAACAAGCGGTAAATAAGTTTTAGGGTTTTATGAAACACGGAATAGGCCGTAAGTGGAAAAACGACCATCCTCTTTTATTTCCGCGGGAAATTTACTTTCGAAAATAAAGCCAGGTAACCATGTTCCGTGGCCCGTTTTATTCTAAATTAATAGCCGAAACGTCGTCGGCCCGTGAAGCCCCCCATATAAAGTGTTTTATGTTTCGGTGCACTTGCTGGTAACCAATCTGAGTGCTCAGAGCAACTGGTTCATAAATAATGCAACTTGCAAGCAGCCAGCATCGGGGAAAACAGCTACCTGATGTGTGCACTCGGTCCGCCCTTGACCCATTTGGTGCTTGAGCGGTCCCTCTGCTTTCAAGAACCAGACCTTTTTGGGGTCTTTCCCCTCCGAAACTTTTCTCATTGACTCGGACGTAGATTGTGGCAATGCTTGCGGCGCATTTCAGCTTCATGTTGCCCCGCACAAAGTGCTTCTGTCGCACGACAAACTGCAGCACTGAAACAAAAATTTGATTGTATTTTTATTAGCAAAAAATTTAAGCAGTAGGTTAATGTGCAAATTATTTGGGTTTTCTAACTCAAAATGTTTCGTTGTGCTTGTAAACTGCTATGGAAAACCTGGATTAGCGGCCATGTATTTTAGAGGTAGAAACCCTCTAGTAGAGCCTGAAAATGTGGACATTAAATGTGAAATGTAGCTCAAGTGTTGGAAGTTAAATATTTGGCTTAGCTACCGATACCCAATAAGTGGCGAAATAATTAAAAGAACTGTTAAAAATGTAACTAGTGAAATTTTGTTGCGATATTGTCTCAAACAATCGAAAACGCCCCAAGTTGGACCAGCAAATAGTTCAAAAGCAGATAGATCGTAAACCCACAGAAGAATCCAGATTGTATTCTGGGAAATTGCAAAATTGCAAGAAAAATAGCAATAATAGACGCACTGGAAAAACTCACATGACCGTCCAAAAATTCAGTATCGAATAATGCTTGGAAACAGAGAACACTAAATTAGTGACTGATTTATGATCTACGAAAACATGGGCACAGAAGAGACAATAATAATCTATTTGCCGGTGCGTTGGGAGCTTTTCGCTTAATGACTAATTAAGAATAAGTAGTTCAAGTGATTGCTGAACTTAAAAAAACTACTTAACTACTCCCTATTGCAGTAGGAGTTAATTTAAGTTTAAAGGTTTAAAGAGTTACTCACCTATGCTCGAAGATTCCAGTCCTTCTCGGCCAACGTACTGCTTGAAGGGACCATGGACGAGTTTTGGATCAGCTTTCCTTTCATTGATCAACCACGTTAAGTTAGCAGCTGGTTTTGAGCTTCTGATAGAACAGGTCACATTCACAGTGTCTCCAATGTGGTATCTGGGTTGTCCTCCTGTAATGACTGGATCAGATTCTGGCGGAACTGCAACAACCAGACAAAAAATATGTAAAGATGATTGTCAGTGATAGTGAGAAAACTATATTTACGAAATGCAGTAGAAAGAAAGACATAATAGTGCAAACGATTTGCCTATTTAACTATCAAAGAAAATTAGAGGAATTAAATAAATAATAACCGAAATTTCAACTCCCGTTTGGATGTAAAACAGAATAAAGCAGCAAGCAGCAGAACGATTTTTGTGGATAAACTTTGACTCAAAAAACTGGACTCAAACATCCACCAAAAAACGTAAATCTGATCTTGGTTTTGCTCTTGGATGTTGATGGGGTTCTTTGAATATATTTCGCTCTTTAAAAGAGTCATTTTCGTGCTTGCTTGCATCACATTATTTTTCAAGAATCATCAATTTGGCGGTAAATTTCATTTACGCATTTCCTTAAAACATGAATTTATTAGCGTAAATTTCCCGATTAAAATTGATGCAATTCCGATAGCGACTAAATAAATATTAATGCAATTTTGGAAAAAACAAATAACGGCGACCCCAAACCAGTGGAATCTCGTTATGGACCATTAATGATTCAAAAAATAAAAAGCATTTTCATAAATTTTAATCAACGTTCTCTATTTATTAGAGGGCACAGTTCCAAGAGCCCGAAATCAACATTATGGATGAGGTTCAACTCGAATTGGGTGCGGCATCTAAAGTCTGTTTATTTGGAGCATCGTTCCATAAATCCCACTTTGACATATCACAGAAATTCCGCAAGTCTGCTCGTCTTTGAGACCACTAGATCCACTAGATCCGAGATTGCTGTTACCTAATAATGGTAATGGTGTTTTCCTGGAGAGCAAACATGTCCGCTGTTTATCGACTAATCCAAACATAATATCGATATCGGTTGTTTGCGCTGATTTTATTAGATAAGCGACATTTTAATTTGGAATTTTATTGGATTTCTCTCTACCAGGCTCATATGAACTGAGGTGCATTATTAACAGGCAAATATAACATTATTTGCTTGGTGCAAATATTGTAGAAAGCTTTTTAGGTCTCTGGATTAACCATCTTGTCTCCCATGCCTCATGTAATAATTTGCTAAAAGCACCTCGTAATTTTGTAAGTCGGAGATTAAAATTCGAAGCAAAATATTATGCACTGGCGTTTCTCGTTTCACACTTTTGGATCTCGGCTCGTTATTTCGCTTTTTGCCTTGTGTCATATTGTTTAATTTCAACCCTCTGTGCCGGCGCGTTTACATGCTTAGTTAAATTTTCAGACTTGAATCGTGCACTTTTACTGAATTTCCTAGAAACAATTCTACCGAAATGTTGTTGGTTGTTATTGCAATGAAACGGGATATAAGCAAGATAGCATTGCACAAATGGGCACTGCAGAAAATTAGCTTGTGAGCGAAATGAACCAATTTCGCTACCACCAGAATGGGTTCAGCATTGTCTACTTAGATTAACATTAATACTAATTAATTTACTCAGTAGCTCATGCTAATTATTTCTAGTAAATAAATCAGTCATTTTAGCCTTGCACTGATAGAGCTGTTGCCGATCGCTCAAATTTGCGCACCAAACCAAAAATTCTGTCCAGTAATACTTCTTAACATCCAAAGGACTTTCTTGCCTTAAGCAGTGGAAAATTTTTAATTTAAATCAATTTGCCACTTCGTGCGGGAGTTTAAAATCAAATTTATTTAACAGCAATGATCCTAAGTTGAATGTGACTTAAATAAAATGTTGAAAATGAACACCATCCAGTTGTACATGTAGTAGTGTAGTATTAGTGTACAAAACCACTAATCAGTGATCGCTCAATGTATTCAAACTAATTTGACGCCAATCTATATTGCAACTTTTATAAACGCAATCAATTTATCTCTTGTTCAATCCACACGGGGCTGAAAAACTAAAGATTTACTGTACCCATACCAAAAAATCCCATGGAGTTGGATCTGGTGACCTCGGAGACCATCGACTCATTTAAAACGGTACTGTCTAAAGACGGCTGCACTTTCTTTCTGAAATGAGAAGAAACCCCATCCCGGACTGGCTATTTTTTCGAAGAGTAGGACACCGGCAATTTTCGTAAACTTTTCTGTATGTTTGCCTTTGGTTTTCTTCGATGTGTCTTTTAATTTGTCGCGTACTTGTTCTTCCAGGATAAGACGTAGAGTTTCTTTCTCATTTTACATTTTCACGTGGCCTACCTCAAGTCACTAGTTTCTCTGGCTTTAGGCAATAGATTGAATTTACAACGGACTCGAAACATAAACAATTTATAGAACTTAATTAATTTAAAATTGTAATATTAAATCCCAACTAATTCGTACGTCTCTCCCTGAAAACAGACATTAACGATCACATATTGCAAAGATGTATTTGCCGTAAAAATCTGCGTTAATACTGATATTGGGGAAAATATTTAGTAGAAAAAGTAAAAAAACATGTCTATTGTTCTGATATTTCGCGTCAGTAACTGTGCACCGTAACAATTTCCTAAAATTATCGAACCCTTTCAAAACCTCTCTTTCTAAGTACCTACCGCCAAGAATGAAAAGCACCTCGCAAATTCTCTGTGACCACAAGAAATGTACAAACAGTTTCAGTCTCAATATACAAGTAATGTAAATGCATACACTGCATCTTCAACATCGACTAATCGCGCTCAAAAGCCCGCAATGCATTATTCCACTCCTCTGCTACTTAAACTTAGCCCCGTCTTCAGCTTAATGGAGGTGGGCTGGAACGAAGTTCCGCGTTCTAAAGTTAAATTTATTTATATCTAAATACACGTCCTCCAGCAAGGACCAGATTCTGCTGTTTTCGAACAGTAAATCTCCGTATTAGAATGTTCATCCCATTTCGTGTTTTTAACCAGCTAGTTTTGCATTCAGGATCACTGGCAGGTATATTTAATTTGTGGAAGTTGTTGCAGTCTAAATGGGATTTAAAGCGCATCTAAAGTAGGCAAACTGAATTCGCAACAAAGGAACGTTCTGCTATACCTAAACCATGTACACACTCTTACACAGTACAATTAAAATAATTGATTGAAAAAAAATATTTTGTTGAAGTTTGTGCTTTTTTTGAGATAAATTCATAAAATCTAGATAAAAAACACGATTGTCTCGAATCAAAGTACTTTAAATGTGATTTTGTCACATTTAAAGTAAACTTAAATATCCATGACATCATAATCCAAACTGGAACCCAAATCATGGATAATGGATTATCACCAGGAACAATATACAAATTTGTTGTTACAATTTATTTTTAATGGGTTGATTAAAAATTGGCTCAATTTCTCTGAAGATGTTGTCTAGTGGTGCTGAGGGAATAAGGAGAGGGTTAAAAAATTGAAACTCTCGCTCTATGCAGAGATATTTGCAAAAAACTGATCCGCAAATGTGGCAACAGCGTTTCGATTTGCGCCTGCTAAAGACGCTGCATTTGCTACAGTTGTGCACTGAAATAAAAACAATACAATGAGAAAATAACACAATATAATGATCAACTGATTTTCCTTGAGATTTTAGGCCTGGTGCCATTTTAATGTCAACTGACTTGGAAAAGAATGGAGATTTTGGGTAAAAACTGAAATTTTCATTTCATTAGCGAACAGGCCCGTCATTCAACTTCAAATTTTTTCAGTTAGCAGGACGCGCTTATCGTGACAGATGACAAAACAACCGAAGCGTCTCAGTCGGTAATATCCGCCCGAACGCCAGAGAATCCCTCTAGCAGGACGTGTGAATAATGACGCAGATTTTGGCGGCAGGAAAGCAGAAACCGGCTCGACAGGATTATGCGAGGATTAACATAAGACACAGCGCGGCTTAGCGTTGCCCTGGCATTGAGTAATTACGTCCAGCTTTTTCATTCACATCGTCGGATTTTTTAAATCGCAATCTTTGTCGTCGTTTATTTTAAGTGTTAAGCTTAACGGGTTTATCCTTCGGCTTGATCTATTTAAATGTCTCCTGCTGCCTTTAGCCGGCGATAATTTGCGCTGTTTTTCGCGTTAATCTTAAATAGTTGCCTTAAGCTGACCGATTTTTTTTCTTTCAGCTGCTCCAGTTCCGACCTTACAGCGCATTCTACGTAGTGATAAGGAAATATCATTTTCCAATTGCTCATCTTCTATGGATTTCACTATTTCAATTTTAATCCGATAATTTTTCAATCTTTCTATTCCAAGAAAATCAGCAAGGCGAAATTAATATTTTTGATCTGTTTCATATTTCTGGCTTATCTGAGTCAACATTTATTTGCATCCTCCACTTCGACCAACGTCTTTTTGTTATCGCCCTTGCATTCATCCATAACTCGTTCGTTCCTTTACTAAAATGTTATGGCCGTAATTCACTTCTTTCACGTACCTACTCTCATTTTCTATTTCCAAAAGAAAATATTCATCCCTGGGCACTACTGTAGTTTCGACTTACCTTTGATGCGCTTCCTGACCACACATGGGTAAGTAATTGAACTTCAAAATCCACGGTTCGTCAAAAACTCTCATTTACAAAGAGTGTTTCGAAACTTACTTAAAACCATTCAATACTAACGGTTCATAAATATCGCATGCTTTCCATACCTTTCAGCTTCAAACTGCCTCAACTTGCCTCAAAACAAACCCTCTAATCACCAGAAATCCGGAAGTCAGCCACCCGAGCTCACTTATTTAGCAGGTGAATATAATCAAAACCATCTACATGGAAAAGTTATATTCAACTTTTCAAGATCAGCTTGCTTGTTTATTCTAAAGTGTCTTTTGACTCGAGAAAGTTATGAAAGAAATGTTATGAACAATATAAAGAGTTTGCGAAGGAATGGGGAAAGAAAGCTTGGAATCCTACAAGCGTTTGCTTTTAAACTAATTAATAAAGAGGCCTCTTAATGAATTGCGTACTTTGTGCGTGCGAAAGAAAAAGCTTCGGCTTAAGTTGTTAAACTTTCAGCGGAATTAAGGTTTCCCAAATATTTTATTTGTCTATACACATAGAATA